CTGTGGCGCATCATTTTTCTGAAGAAAATAGTGTCGTTCAAGCGGGGAGTGTGTCCCTCGTTCGGGCTTTCTTAAGGCGGGGACATGGTGGGGGGGGGGGAGGTCGGGACATGCACCCGAATCGTAACAGGCTCGAGCGAGCTACATGAAAAAACGCGGACAAGATGCTTAGTTGGACATGGTTCTTTCAGTGTTTTTAATACCCGGGACACGAGCGTTATGGTTGACAATTCAGTTCATGTATGTATTCTCCGCAGTCGCTGCTGGTTTTCACGCAAAAAGTCGCGGCTTATCGTTTCAAATCATACTGTAGGTCGCGTTGATGTAAACCGATTCAACAAGTACATGACTTACGGCTACAAGTACCGAAAGTTTCATAGGGTCTGCCGGCGGAACGATAAGCATGAGTCAGGCCGGGGGTTCAGTTCCGTCGTTCAGTTCCGTCGTTAACAGGTATATGTAGCATTATCAAGGCCTGGGCCGTGTCCATCTTTCTGCCAGAAAATTCAAGCAAGCGATGCAATGCCGTAAGCCGGCCGTGCTTTTGATCAACGCAATGTGATGTCGTGTGAACTCTTGAAAAAACTGCACCTCTTTCACACAGCGGCCGCTATTTGCAAGAGAAATCCAGTCGGAAGGAGAAACTAGGCACTGCTGTACCATGAAAAAACAAAAAAACGGAATAACCATCACCCAAACCGGTCCAAGCGTCTTCCTCCTCCACCTCACAAGCAGAACATATGGTCGGGTGCACAACATGGCCACCAACTGCCTTGTAGGGCCCGTTTGTTACCCGTACGGGAGACATCGGTCTCTGCTGCTCGGGGAATCGTAGAAACACAGGTAGCTTCTACTGACGCAGTGGAAAATTGCTAATCTACCCCAAATTCGTCTCTGCAGGAGATGGGATTTGTTGTGCCATAAGTTAGAAAATAAACACACACAGCAAACACTAGCGTGAAACAGCAGTAGGACATTCCGCCGGACCGAATACAGGCTCACTCACGTCGAAGTCCAACCAGCTGCTCTGCCTGCTAAGAGACAACCCGCCCGCCGATTCTCGCCGGGCCCCGTCAGGGGTCATAATGGTGCCACCGCCACCGCCACCGCCACCCGTGCTTCCCCCTCCGCCGGCCCCCTGTGCCGCCGCAATACGCGCCTGTGGCAAGAAAAGAACGGGATAATTATCTTAGACGCGGCGGGCAGTCTCTGTTCGGCATGTTTATGTGTGTTTTCTACAATCATGATGGTTTTGTTTTTCGTTTAGGGTGACAAATCGCGTCTTGGAGGACGTTTCTGGGGTGCCTTTTGTTTTTTTTTGCTTCTAGAAAGGTGTGGTACCCCTTTTCGGGGTAGGTTGGCTTATAAACACGGAAGGCGTCCGCGTGAGTTGGACCAGTACGGACAAAAGCAGGTGCTGAGCGGAGACCTGAACATTTTACGATGAAGACAACAACAAAAACAACAACAACAACTACAACAACAACAGCAACAATGCTAACCAACAAGGCGGCGGGGAGGCATCCATCCGTCTGCCTGCCGAGTACGCACGCAAGACACGAGAGCGAGCACAAGGAGCGTGAATCGCAAACTCTGGATATTGAAACAAACGGGACATAAAACGCGAAGGATGGCTTGCCGCTGCAAGACATGGTGACGAATGTAACACAGAAACACCCCCCGTCTCCGGACGACGGGTCCAACACTCAAAGGCACAACAGATATCAAGGCTTTGACAAAAAAATGGTATTTAGATCAATTTAGATCGGAACTGTTTTTCAAGCATGGCACAACATAAAAAAAAATCAAAACGGGCAGTCTTTCAGCCATCGCATGCACATCTTCAACAGAAACTCGACCCCCCCACACACCTGCACGGTCATCGAGGTCAGCTCCAGCCCGCTGTGGGTGGCCGGCACCCTGTTGTACGTCGTCGCCTCCTCGAACAGAGGGTTCCCGGGGGCCGACTCGATGTACAGTTTCACCACAAGGTAGGTGATGAGCACCAGAGCCACGTACAGCAGGAAGTTGGTGGCGAGGACGTAGAGGAGGGTGGGCGCGTCGTACTCCGCGTCTCCCCCGGTCGGGGGGGCGAGGGACGGCGGCAATTCCACCGCCTTTTTTTCCCCGCGTGCAACCCCCCGTGGAGGGAGCAGCGGCGTTTGTCGTCGAGCCACGGAACGTCGAGTGCGGGGGAAACACACGGCAGGGAGCAGGGAGCCAGCGGGCAAAAACGGTGACGGGCGAACTAAATATGGCTCCCTGGGATACCTTCTTAGAGGACTCACGCTTCACGCATGCGGAGTGGTCCATTATGGTACAGATGGGGTAAGAGGTGCGTGATGACACAAGACGATCACACGAACTAAATGACTGCATGACTGCCAAATCCTTCCGCAATCTATTCCAGCAAAATGCCATCTTGATCGGCGACACGAAACAACTGTAAATGTACGACCGAGTGCCAAAGCTACTCTGAGTAATAGCAGGTACGGGCAAGAACAGATCGCCTTCAATCACCACCCGCCTCGGGCCCCAGGCAGTGACCGAACCCAATCTTGATTGGATGACGAATCAAGACCAAAAGCAGCAGAGTCGCCCCGCACACTGCTGTGATGTACACAAACAACATACGCGTACAAGACACGCCGCCGACGGGTTTTGCCGACAGCAGCGGGTGTGTGTGCGAAGCTGATCGCGCACCCTGATGAGTAAGCAACCCCGCACGGCCAAGAGCGCGCTAGCTCTCTGCCAAAGCGGAGAACCTTACTGCCGTGTGTACAAATTCGTCCGCACCGCCACTGCGGATGGAAAACGTCAGGGTACTGCTGTATACGGTATGGCGTGCCGTGGTTGTTCACGGTTCACGGCTGCCGCTGCCTGCTGTGCAAGAGCGTCTTACAGGCAAGGGCAGGTGGAGGAACCTTGACCCTGCTTTACTCTGGGTTCCAGACACAGCACTCACCTCTGCCTGCCGAGCGAAAGACATGGCCACGCCGATAGCGAGGGCACCGCAAGTGGTTGGCCCTCCTGCCGTGGTGCCCCAGAAATCGACCATGGCCTTGCCTATGTAGCGCGATGAACACGCGAATGTTCCACGAGCCAGCCCTCCGATATCACGAAATAAGGCAATGTTCCTCACAAATACCTACCTCCCCAGACACAGCCCGTGGGCCCGGAAAGCCTACGTTAGGGGCAAACAACACAACAACGAGCTGTGCCGTGGGTTTGACTCAGCGGCCACGCTTGGTCGCCCTCGGACTCACGGGACACGCAGACTCTACCGTTGCACGGAATGTCTCCGTTTTGCGACAAAAGCGAGTGAGTGCCACGGGGGTTTCGTGAAGAAAAGGTTCTACACCCCCCCCCCTCGGCGGCCAGTATTTTTTCAGCGGCGGTTACACTTTTTGTACCTCTCGATGTTGTCGATAGACGATAGACCGACAGATCTACACTATTGTACATCACCACCGTTCGTCTTTTCGTCAACGAGACATAACAGAGACCAATGGAATCGCCGACCGCGCAGGCCTCTCGGAGATGGCTTTGAGTGCTGCGGGCCCACCCCCGTGTCCGCTTGCTGCTGCTGCTGCTGCTGCTGCTGCTGCTGCTGCTGCTGCTGCTGCACGGCCGGCAGGGCTTGTTGTCTGACTGATCGTTGCCTCGGTCGCGACTGGCGTCTCGCTCGATTACGCTGACGACCTCAACGATGTTCAACGTACCGACTTGCGTATGGAATCCGATGGACCGGGAATCCACGCAGGTTCAACGATTCTGCCCTGTGCCGAAGTTGAGTGCTAGGGCAGCATTTCTGAATGTAAGCGTATAATTTAAAGTCACATACACACACAGCAGTGCATTCTCGTTGATCCGGTACTTACTGCGACGTGTACACTGCTGTAGACTACCTGGTACTCTTTAGCGGAGAGGTGCCGTCGGTGCCGCCAACCCCAGCTGATGCAAGTTAGGCGTCTGCTATTGCTGTTATAGACAGAACAACGGGCACTTTGCCCACTGGATTCCTCCGACACTGCTGTGTGGTGTAGACTACACATATTTTTGTGTATGCAAACACATGCGGCGGAGATTTTCCGCAGATATCGAGAGACACAGGGCATAGCTCAGTAGTCTTGTCCATGACGACCTGTATAGGTGCAGCAGTATGCACCATGGTCTAAACGTCTACACCGAACTTACGTATCTACAGTCCACCATGTTGTCCATGGGTTGGTCAAACACAGTCGTAGTGGATGATTTTCTCATTCGACTCGTGATCCCGGCACATTCGATATGCATAGAAGTCGCAATTGGCGTCTTTCGCGACCTACCTTGGATATTCATGTTGGCTCTTGTGTTGAATGACCGCTCTATTATGTGTTCTGCGTTACAGCAACCCCAAGGGCGAGATGTTGCCGATATGGTAGACAGCCTCCGCATGAACCTCCGCCAAGCAAAGCAAGCCCTCGCAGTTCGTGACCAAGAAACACGAAAGTTGAGGTCGGCGGTGACACATCTCGAGAGCACCGTGGCCCTGCGGGAACGGGAACTACGAGATACGGTGCGTCGAACCACCATGCGGTGGCATTTTGGTGTCCAGAACGCCGCTGTAGAAGGGTTAGCAAGACTAAAGACCTCCCGTCTGTGCACACGGTGGCTGCGTTGTGAGTATACCCCAAAGACGAAGCGCCACGATTCGATAATCATGGGCTGGCTACATAGTGGCTGCGGAAACATTTGATTCGTCTTGAAAAGAGCAACAGGGAGTTTATTGATCAAGTAATGGTAATGGTGTCCATAGCTTTCGGTGTGTGTTGAAATGGACAGACCTGCGAACGCAAAACTATCCGTTCTCCATCACTACCCTCAACAGCCACGACCAATACCAAGGAACTCTAGGTTTCGACCAGCACCACGGTGATCAACCTGTGGCGTTTCAAAAGTCAACCTACTTGGACACATTTACCTGTGCACCAGGTGCTGTGCCTGCTAGGTGAATCGCCGGCTAAACCCCACCAGGAGTGGCTGCAGGTGGGCATCTCCAGTTCCAGGCTTCGTTTGCAGGTATGCACAGGCCCATGTGGGTTTTCGAGTCTTCGAGCGTACTCCGTTCAGTCTTGCTACTGTCGTAGGTTTCATGCTTTGTTGATCTCACAAGGTCAAACCTTGGTCTTGGTTTTGCTTGCACTGTCACCACACTGCTGGCCCTACTGAAGCTCGAAACGCTGGGGGCGATGGTGTCCGGTAGTTTTTCCTTCCAAGTGTGCATACAACAGAGGAAGCCCTCACGCACGAGTAGTGCGCATTGCAACTACGAGGGCCGTCGCTTCCCGCCCACAGTTCTTGAAGTTGTCACCTCGGGGAGCTTCTACTGCTGCCGTCCAATCGAGTATTGGGCACACTCGAAATAAAATATTGTGGACAAGCGCTGGAGCGTTACCTCGGGGCGGTCAAGGGGCTTGTAGGATTTCAAACGTCTCTCTCGCAGTGTCTTGCGTAGAACGATACTTGTTATTTTCTTGTTGGTTTGAACTGTGACCGTGGATCCGGCGAAGCTAGAAAAACTGGATGGTACTTCATGTCCATCTATCTCGGTCGGCTGGGGCGACCTTCCTCCACTCAACTACAGAACGTGCCAGCTGATCTCCACCCCGTAAACTGATCGGGGCCTTCGATATCTGTTGAAAGGTAAGAGCGTATGCCACTCATCATGGGTACTCCATTCCCCATTGGTTGGGTCGGGCGTTGCTCGCAGGTGCACCGGCTTCAGCGTGTAGTTGCCGCCAAGCAGGACCATATTGAGCACCTCAACAGACAGGCTTCACTAGGATTTCTTCGCGAAGCGCGGGAACAGGTGGGACCACGACGAAGCTGCTCTGTCCACAGTTTGGCAGTTGCTATTCTACTGCTCAATTCGTAGGCATCCCTCATGATTCAGGTACGGCTGGCCTATCGTCACCGTGGAGTGCAGTGCACCGTAGACCGTGCTGCTTTAAATGTTTAAATCCGGTCGAAGCGTTTAACGCAAGTGTCGCCAAGATAATCAAGGTCGGCACGGCTTAACTACGTCATAGCCTCAAGTCCAAGAGAGGTGTACGGTTTCGTAGACGCAAGGGTAGGTTGGTCTTGTTCCGAGCGTTGTTTGTCTTGGCACCCTAGCCGAACTGCAGCTGTCGTAAGCTGTCTCTTGACTGGTAACACTGTTGCTTTTCGGCCTATCGCAACAGGCAGACGAATACCGTACCGAAGCCAAACGGCTCTCACGCGCCCTCGCGGCAGCCACGGGGCATGGAGGCTGTGGATGGCCTCCGACATCGGGCATCTCCACCGGTCGCCCTCCACCACCGGCTGCTGACATCGCCGGTCACGCCGTTCCCCACACGGGTGGTCAGGGGGGCGGATACCGAACTAGAGGAGAATCGACTAGCAGTGCTACAGATGCCGAAGACATGCTTCCGCGAGAAACTGAACCTCCTCCCCGGAAAATTCCATCTCCGGGTAGATCTTGCGATGGTGCGCCAGACTCCAAGGAGCCGCCACATTTGTCCAGCTACTACCTCGCATCGGGAAAAGACTCGCGGAAGGGGAGGCCGCCGGACCCATCACTGGCTTGGGAGGCAACGCCAGGGGCAGGGACGCAGGCGTCGTCGAGTGAGTGTAGGGTGGTGCTGCAGAGGGACGAGCCACGGGAGCTCCAGTACGCTCCGCGGCCGACAAATGGTTGGGATGCTCTTGTTGCCGGCCTGGTGCCTATTCCACCACAAGCTGGTGTGGCGGGCGCGGTGCACGGCGGTGTCCGGTTCGGGAGAAGTCCAAGCTCGCCGCCACGAGGTACCGGCAGAGTTTCCACTCGAACCGGATGTCGCCATATGTCTCCGCGAGGCGGATGTTCGCCAGATCGGTCGCGAGCGCTCGGAGGTGAGAAAACACAGATGAGAGAACTACCTCCGACGGACTCGGTTGTCGGTGCCGGCGACATGGTCACCTTGGGGAATGACGCCTTTGAACGGGGGTTGTGAGCCGAACCAATGCCTCTCTACAAAGTGTACCTACTTCCGGCGAACTTGTCCATCGATCATCCCAATTCCCCCCGACCACTCGGCTGCACGGGCACGGACAATGCATCACTCGTCTCATAGCGTTTGCTCTGTGGAGATCGACACAAGACGCTATTTAGCGGCGAACGGTGGTCTAGGAAAAAAATGTTATATCTTGCCCCAGCAGTCATGTCGAAGATCCATTGAATACATTCCCCTTTGCAAAAACGTTTCTTGGAAGTTCGACAAATACGAACACAAATTTGTACGCGCATACGAATCACCCAAGGCTTCGCTTCGACTTGTCCCAAGGACGTTGTCGGTGCGTACCTTCCACAGAAAATATGTATCTCTAAAGCATACACTCTTCAACATCCTGTGCCCAGAAAACAAGCGCTTGGGCTGGATGGCGGCATCTGCACGATTGCGTTCGGAAATCCGGCAGAGCGCCGACGAAATGAGGGAGGCGTTGGCGCTGCGAGACGAGTCACGCCGCCTCCGGACAGCTCGAGCTGAGCGCGCACGACGAGCAAGAATAGCCCAGCAGAAAATTGCAAGGTATTTATGATCGGACTGCATACACATCCCTTGGTGTCCACGTAAGGCAGGTCGAGGTTGGGCATGAAGTGTTTTTTTTACTGATAGGCACCATTTCCAGTCACCAGGTAAGCTGTCGCTAAAAATGCTGTAGACAAACGTGCGCGGTGTCTGTCCTAGGGAGCCGAAACACTAAGTCGAAGAAGAAGACACTGCTACGCAAGCCCCACCGCCACCGCCCCGCGTTCTCGAACGTTTGTGTCCCCAGGTATCGAGAAGACCGTATTCGCGAGCTGGAGTCCCGCCTTGCGCGACACTCCGGAGACCGGCAACCTGATGCACCTCCAACGCCTCGCGCGGAAGCGCCCGCGGCGCCCGGTGACGCCCAGGTGACAGAGCAAGGCCTGTCGGTCGATATCAACGCCAACAAGTTGCAACAGCTGTCAAGACAGAGGAGAGAAATCGAGGCCGCCATCGCGGCCGCTTTAGAGGAGGACCCAACCTTAGAGGACAAATCGCCGAGGAGCGATAGATCGCGCGGCGATGGTGCCGAGTCCTTGGCAGTCGAGCACGAGCGCCCAAAGTCGGGAAGAAGAAAACGGGCCCAGCTCAGAGAAGAAGAGCCGTATCGACGACAGCAGCAGCAGCCGCCGCCGCCGCGGCGTCGAAGATCGGGCGACAGCAGCTCTCGAACGCAGGAAGATCCCTACGTTTTTGGACAAGATGTTGACTACCAAGAGCAGGATGAACCTCCCGCAATTCCACTAGGCAAGCCCCCGCTCGCGCCTTGCCGCGCGGGGGGGGAGCGGCGGAGGAAACACTCGAATGTCCGCCGACAATCGAGTGTGAGCGAAGTGGACGAGAGACTGGACCGCAGCGAGGGGGGCGGAATCCCGGAGAGTTTTCCACGGGATGGCGAAAACGATAGGGACAGCGACGTGGACGAGGTTCAGACGGAAGATGGTAACGGGAACGATAGCGGCTGGAGCAACAATCGGCTCTCGGACTTCGGGGGGAGTGTGTGGGAAGAAAACGTGTCGTCCAGGGGATGGGATGCGGATGATGGTAGAGGCGAGGTCCCCCCCCTAGCTCTGGTGGAAACGGAGGAACTACGGGCCAGGGGCGACGAAAATCAGCCCCGCCGACAGCGTCACTGGGTAAGATCAGGGGGCCATGAACACGTTGAATCAAGCATGGCAAACCAAAGGAGGGGTGAGGAGAGGGACATCGGAAGCCATCGTGGTGGCTCGCTCGAACAACGTTCAGTGCCCCGAACCGATCACGGAGAGGTGGTTGGCCATCCCGGCGCAAGTGAACCCCTCGACGATGACGGCAGCTACAACAGCCGCTGGAGCCTGTCCGATGAGGACGAAGCACAGGAAAGGAGCGGTGGTGAGAGGGGTGCTAGTACGCGGCAAGCTTACGCCGGAGACGCCAGCGGGAGTGATGACAGAGCTAGAGAGCCATCGAGATCGTCACATAGAGAGGCACAAAAGCATACCTGGGATGAAGACGCATCGGTCGCGTCCAACACGAAGGAGGGCGGTGGGAATGTTGCCGGGATGGTGCCGGAGTACCTCGATGACTTTTTCGAGGAGAAGTCGGAAGGACACGACCGAGGGGATGATGTGCCCTTTGCTGTTTCAGAACCAAGGTATGTGATCCGGAGACGTTTTCGTCCCTTGAGCTACCTCAGATGACCTTCCATGCAGTCCACGCAGGGTCCGCAGCCGTCCATCAGCACTAAGGTTGTTTGCGGCGGAGAGTCCTATCTGGTCCAATGGTCGGCAATCTTTTTTACGTGATAGCCTGAGCTTTGCTTCTCTTAGTGTGTGCCGCGACCAAGAGGCAGCATGTTCCGGGATGTTGTGCGCCTAACCTCCCGAGGGTTATACCTTGGAAGGGACCACGCCAAGACGTCCGAGGGCAACAAGTCATCGCCTGAACAGTAGATCCCACCAACATGTCATGCCCCCTCTTCTATTGCGACCGGTTCTGTTTAGTCCACCGTCAATGCTGCCCTTCGTCCTCACATGGTTATTTCCTGCCTCCCACGCCGTCGCATTTCCTTTCTCTTATTAGCGACGAGGAGAACCCAGCTTTCGCAGCGGGAGAGGAATTACCCTCCGACCGAAAATCAGTCTCCGCCCAATCATGGGTTGTCGATCAAGAGGAATCTCACCCGGCCGGAGTAGACGAAGACCCGGACCAAGTGTTGCTGCAGCCAGTGTCGCCACCTGTGTTGCGCCACAGCGCGCAAGCCGCAGCGGTTGTGGCGGCGAAGGCCGAGGGGGGTTCGTTAGAGCGGTCGGTGGAGGTACAGGTATCTCCTGTAGGTGAACCTCCGACCAATCTCCATGGCGGCGCTAGCAAGGAGGAGGTCTCGCCCTCACACGGCCCAGAAAACCCAGTCGTGACCACCGTCGGCAACGCACGAGACGACGGCCGAACGATCGCGGAAGAAGACGATTCAGAGAGTGGCGACGTCGCCACTCCGATGAAGATAGACTCGGCGGTGTTGTTCGCGTCTCTGTCGTCGTCGACAGCGGGTACCTCGCTGTCGTCCAAGAGCATGGCGAGGGCGGAAGGGAAGTGGGGCAGCAGGACGGGAACATCCGCAGCAGCACTAGCAGCAAAACAGGGCGAAGTGTCGGCGTCCACCTTCGCGCTCTCTACAACGGATGACGACGGGGATACGGGCGTGAATTCCGAGGGAAAGGGTGACATTTCGCGGGGTCGATCTTCCGCAAGGCTAAGTGACAGGCAGCAGACACCTGACAACAAGTGCCCACCGGTTGCCGACACAGGCGAGGCACTCGTCGGGAGTGGACGTGTCGCAACGGACGCCAACAAGCCGGAGGAGGGATCGGAACCGCGGGCATCTGCCCCACCACCAGCAACATCTACGAGGTCTGAATCCGGCGGTGTTGTTACGTTATCTCCTGAGGCTGACCGGCGGTCCGAGTCTCCACCTGCTCTCGGCGAACGGCAGTCGCGGCCGCCATCAGACGACAGCCTCGGTGGCCTCCCTCACAATTACAACAGCAGCAGCTCAACACCGGCGCCATCGCCGCTCCTTTTCACCACGCCTTCGGAACTTGAGGCAACGAGGCCCGTTGTCGGCGATCATCCCGTACCGTTGCTTGCTAAGGAAGAAGGTCAACCATCATCGGAGGGGTCACACCATGCGACTCTCGAGCCAGAGCAGGAAAAAGCCATTCTTTCGACCCTGGAACCATCGGCGTCGCCGCGGGGCGAACAAGCATCAGCCGATTCCTCGGATATTTCGTCGGGGGTTGGAGGAGACCCTACGGTGCAAGCCGCTGTGCTCGACAACAGTCCCAGTGCCCCAAGCCAAAGAACAGAGATGGAGGGTGTCGCCGGGGACCTTGACAACGAACCAAGCATCAATGGACCTGAGAGCGACAAAACTAGTTACCTAGACGGGCGGGCGAGCCCCGATGAGCACGAGGGTGGGTTGGCTGGCAGAGAGCACGAGAGAGATGGGTCGGCTAGAGATCAGGAGGGGGCCGTGCTTGGCACCCTGGAAGGACAGTCTTTGCTCGCTGAGAATTCGTCGCACAGTGGCAGCGCGTTGGACGTTGGAGGCGGTGCAGTCGATGGTGACGATGACGACGACGGGTATTTCTGACCGTTGGAATCCGTTTCGGAGAGAGATTTCGTCCTAGAGCTACTGGTGGTGGTCGTTTCAAAGAGCGATGGCGCTTTCAAAGACGAGCGGTTTAGATATTTATATTTCCATGTGCCGTGGAGGAGTGGTTCTGATGTAGTGCTGGGCTTACATTGGATATGGCTCTTGTGTGTTTGGAAGCCTGAATACTACTCAATCCTTGGTCGAGCTGGAATCTGAAGCCATCGTTTCGTTTCTATAAACTGATATTTCTTCGGTCGCAATCTCCATCGAGTGCTGCCGTCTGCGTACTCCTTGACTTTGAAAACGCCGTAGGGGAAAGCGCCCGGGTCAACCAGCTAGGGGGCAGTGTCATGCGGTTCCAAGCTCAGAACTTGTATGGTGCGTGGCGCAACGTCCCTGAGTGCTCCGAACGACGAACTGCCGAATCTTCTCGAAGCAAACATGTTTACACTTTCTTGTAAGATGGGAAGGCCTCCAACCCAATGCACCCACTGATACGTCAAAACCTACCCCCTAAAAATACATCATGTGACGCCCAACTATCTACTGAACGCGTTCAAAATCGTTCATCCTCGCGGCGAACACAAGCCCTCAAGCAACAGCGTCGCTCTCCGAACATGGGCCGGGAAACCCGGGCCTTCCTACTATATCTGCGCGGGCGGCTTTCCCTTCGCCGCCGCCGACGTCTTCGCAGGGTGCGTCCGCCGTCGCGGGAGTAGCCTCAGCGACTGCTGCAGTATGCCCCCATCTGTGGCTGTGGAACGGCGCCGGGGCTGCCGGCTCTTGCTTCCTGTCACCGTTGTCCTGCGGAGGCGGGAATCCGTCAGCTATTGTGTCTACGTGCAGGGGAGTACTAGCCCTGCCGTGGTGTCCGTCTCTCCCTTTGTCCTCAGACTGTGCGGCCGCCGGTGGCGGAGCTTCGTCACCGGAACGAAGCCCTTCGGAGTTATCATCGCCATCATCGTCGTCGTCGTTGCTGCCGTCGCCCCCGCCGTCGGTATCGTCGCTGTTATTCCCGAGCACGACGTTGCTGCTTGAAATCGATCGCGGGGTTCCCTCATTTGCTTCATCTGGGGCATTCACCTTTCGTCAGTCGTCCCATTGAGAGCGAAGGAAACCGATCAGCCGCAAAGAGGTACACGTCGAATGAGAATACGCACGAGAAGGTTGCGCCGTGGTATGCAGCACTGCCGTGAAGGTTCAAAGGACCTACTGTAGCTCATTGTTGCTATGAAACTTGTTGAGCGAAAAAATGTAGGCCCCAACCTCCAAAAACTGCCATGTTCCTTCGACAAACAAGGTCGCTCGCTCATCCCGCAAGGAGCGCCTCAACAGTGGCAGCGACCCTAACGACATAATTACCTCCTTGCCGGCGACGTTGAGGACAGAAACGTTGTCCCCTTCGAATGAGATATCCATCCCATTCAAGGCGCTGCCGCTCTCCGCCTGCCACCAGCCCTCCTCTCCACCTAACTCTCCGTCTTCCCGCCCGCTCTCCCCTTGACGGTTCTGGTTGTCCAAGAAGACCACCGACCCCCCGTACTCGCTACCCAAACCGGGAAAATCGACCGGGGCCCCCCGGTGTGCACCCAAATGGTCGTCACCAGCTTCCCTCAACGCATCTGCTGATGTGTCACCCCGCAACGGTCGCTCAAGGTTATCACCCCCGACCTCCAGGTTCTGCACAAACGGCGTCTTTTGGCACCCCAAGCCTGGCTGGAGGCCGTCGACAACGTCGCCAACGCCGCCGCTTGCCAGAGGGCACGAGCTAGTCCTCAAGTTGCCAGAGTCATTGCTCCGAGTTAGTCCCGCTTCTTCTGTTGGCGGAGAAGGCCCATCACCGGAAAACCAACATTTTTCGCCGGTCTCCTCAGCCATCATGCCGTCACCTTTCTTCACTCCCCCAATACATGCCGCCCCGGGGTCATCGTTGTTGCTACTACTACCTCCACGGTCCTTGACCCCCCCACGCGAAAAGGAATCACCTGCTTCTGCGGGGCCCCGCTGCGACGAAGTCCGCTTGGACTCGCCGCGCCCCGAGCTTTCTCTCCCTCCGACGCCCTCCTGGCGGTAAGGAGACCGCGCGGGCCGCGGGGAGAGTCGCGGGGAACAAGACGGCGAGCGGTAGTGGTACGGCGACGGCGAGATGGACGGCTTGCCTTCGGCCTTGAGACTAGGGGCGACCCCGCTCTCTCCAGCGAGGGGATGCTGCTCTAGAATGCCGGCAGGGCCCTCGCGCGGCGCTGTATCGAGGTGGGCCGCATCTCGTTGCGAGCTGTCGTCGTCGTCGTGGTAGTTTATTCCCGCTCGCTGGTCGAGTGGCACAAAAGTAGCGGAGGCAGGTTCTCCATGGCTTTGGCTTCCGCCGGGAGGGTTGGGTTGCCGTTGATGTCGTTGGCGGGGGCTGCAGCGCTCTGCGCCGCCGTGCTGGCACCGTCCGACATCGCCAGCACCGCCGTTGAGGCGCTCTCCAGCTGATTGGCCTATACCCGGCCCCCCATCCCCACCAAGACCTCCATCATCGAAACCCCGGCCCTCGTTGACAGTGGTGTCGTTGTCACCGCCGCTTTGGTTTACGCCAGGACCACTCTCTACTCCTTCCGCTCCAGGGGTTCCGCCCACGCCGCCAGCCGCCCCCCCGCTGCACCCTCGGCTTGGAAGCGTGGACTCTAGGTGTTCGTACTCGTCATCGACAGACCTGAGATGGACGTAGCGTTCTACCCCCGCTTCCTCGAGCACGACCTAGAATGTTCGGTGTGGGTGTGTTCATGCAAGCCGGTCACACATCGCCACTGCCGCTTGCACTCTGCAGCGGAAAAAAAGTGATTTCCTGTACGGATCGATTCCAACTATCGTTGAGGGGTGATTTGAAAATCCAGCAGTGGTTCTTACGGTGCTACAAACAAGATCGGTCCGTCGGAAGGCTAAGAAGCAGCGCTCTCGAGACGTAAACTCCCGGCCGCACACATGTTCTAAGCGTATGGAGCTGAGGAACGAACAATCTTTGTCTGTTGGAGGATCATCTAGAGTTAGAACCAACGTGTACCTAGCACTCGTTTGAATTTGGAGAGAAGGCATGTAAAGAACGAACGTGACATGTTGCCCCACCTCGCCGTTGAAAGCCTCCCCGCTCTCGTAGTGGGTGCTCTCTCGGTGTGCGAACTCGCCCGTTCGCTTGCACTCCATGTGCAGCACCTCGGTTTGGCTTTTCTCGGTCTCGAACAACTCCTGAACCTGTTGCCGGTCGATTCAGTCCCCGACCCACGGTTTAGAAATGGCAACTTTCTACCATTTACGGAACAATTCATGGAGTTCTTGGTGGTCGACTAAGTCATTTACCTAACGTTAACTTTTCCTGAACCCGTTGTTGGCCGATTTAGTCCCGACCCACGGTTTAGAACCGGCAGCCTACTGCCGTCTACCAAACAAATCTAGAAACTGTTGCTGGTCGATTCAGTTCAGACCCACGGCTAGAACCCGAAATTTCTCCCGTTTACCGAGTAGTTCCTGGCCTTGTTGGTCGATTCACGCCCGATCTACATTTCAGGACCTGCCCTTTACTGTCGTCGTTTACTCCCATGTTGGGGGTCGTTATGAGACTACTGTACCGCATCAGCACTTCCGTCGAACACGTGAGGGTAGAGTGCCCGTGACTTAGCACCGAAAGGTGCATCTCCACCAAGCTTGAAGGTTTTGGCAAGGGAACCTAGTCGAACTCGTCGTGATTATATTTTTTTCGGACAGTTTTGTTACGGTTAATGGTCTACCAGAAAGCCACCTCTGCCGTAGGATGATTACGCAACACAGAATGCAGTGCATTCGAGCAAAGCGGGATATTGGTCACGAGTGCAAGCGTATGTCGCAACGACCCCGCCGAACCAGACGATTCAGCGGCACAATACCTATGTACCTCGATTCGTATAAGGTGTGCATGGTGGACGAATTAGCCATGTATTCAGGTCCCTGGGGCATGCTATGAGATACCTTGACTGCCTGGACCAATGTTGGGTATTCAAAGGTTGTTTGAGAACGAAACCCCCACTCCATTCTTCGAGTCAGGCTTACCGCTCCCTCCTCGTCCAATGTAGTGTACTGAACGATCCTCTCTTGGATCAGGGTTTCCCTTTTCCGCCACACCGGCTTCCCGGGGCCCGGCCGTCGATACGCCTCCTTCCCCCGGAGACCCAACACCGTGCCCAAGTGCCGCACCAAAGTCGTGCAATGCCCCCCGCCCCCCCGTTTCTTGTGGTCTTCCTGACTTCTCGCTTCTAATTTCCGTTCCCCCCTTGCTTCTGCCACTCTTCCGTCCCCGAGTGCCCCTCCGGATAGATGTACGGAGCTGTGGCGAGAAAATTCTTCTCTTATTTCTGCTCTAGAAATTTGCGTAGTGAAGCTGGCGTCATTGTTGGTGCTGTTTGGGCCTTCCGTTGCTGCTGCTGCTGCTGCCGCTGTCGCCCCTGCTGCTGAGAGGGCCCGAATAGACGTCAGGGGAACGATGCGCGGGGTCAAGAGCTCTACCCCGGTGCTGTCAACGGGCACGTCGTCGGCGACAGCGGCGTGCCGTTCGTCCGGGTCGGCGAGGGCTGCCATAGCCGTCGTTGCTGCCGGGCACTCTGGCGGGGCCGACATCATTGCCCGAAGACAGAGACCCGAAGTTGCTGGAGGACCCGCACAATCGGCTGACGATCTCCCTCCGGCTTTTTCAGCCGATGGTTTCGATGACGGTGACGGCGTGGTGCTGGTCGGCCGTGGCGACAGTGGTGAAGGCGGGCGCCCCGGGGGCGGGCAGCAGTCACCGCTACTGACCCGGGAGGAGGAAGATGTGTGCTGCTGATGCCGGTCCCGATCTCGTTGCCGTGGAACGTCGTTCGGGGGTTGTCTGCTACCGTTCTCGACGAAGGTGATGAGGGCGGCCACCGAAATTGAGCCGGCGGCAGTAGCGGAGCGTGCTTGCTGGGCGCCTGCTTCGGGAGGATCACACAAGAGGCTGCGATCGAGGAGAGCCTCGATACGAGGGCATTCCCCCAGCCGAAGAGCTTTCCGCAGGTGGTCCTGGAATTCAGCGGCGCGGTGTGGTACAGGACATTGCTGCTACGGTTGAGAACCGAGATGGGGAGACAGTCCGGGAGGATAGACCCCAAAATCAACGGTAATAATCCGTGCAGCCGTTCGAGCTGCTCGAATCACAGCAAGATCATCTTGACCTGCCTTCGAGGAACCCTTACCTCAAGTTCAAGGTACAGCCTTGTCGACATAGACTACCCAGGACGAGCAAGACATGAAATACATGTACTGTAGTTCCCGACCGTAGCAAGCCCGCCGCCGGCCCACCCATGTTTACAACCGTCAGCTTGTCTGAGCCCTAAGAGCCTGAACGCTGCACGGGACCAGAATGATGCTCCTACTGTACTGTGCAACCTCACCATCCATTCTGCGATAGCGGTGTCCCTGGAACTTGGGCAATAACTCGAAGGGCAGCTATTCTTACACGGGTGGGGGGAAATCAGCGCAGACTCTCACGGTGGTGGTGGTGGGTTTCGAGTATGCATGCACAATGGAACCCGCCCACACTTTTTTCGGCTACACGTACACAGTACATGTACACGTGCATATGCTCTGTCGATCCGACACCCTTACCCTATTATAGTCTTAGTTTCCAGAGCAGATGAGTACCCTTTATGGCCTCGCGAAAGCACAGAGCCTGTAGCTATGCATCTTGTGTTTAGATGTGTCGGGTATCGGCTAATTTTGACTATCCCTCGAGAAAAATACCATCATCGTGTAAGTTCTAGGTATACGCATACTGTATACCTTGGTCAGTACCCCGTTTTCAGCAGCAGCATCGAACTGGTCCTTCATGGTCCAGTCCCGTGGCCGGCAGTTGTAAGCCCTGGCGTTCCGAGTTCGATTGGTCGTAGATTGGAGGAGGAGAAAAACATGTGTTCGTTGGTTGTGGCTCAATATGGATGAACACCAACAGATCATTTCTTCTGCATGTGGAGCAAATTGACTCGAAGGGCTGCTTCGTCATGTCAGGAAAGGGAATATTCGCTGTGCGACCAATGTCTACCGAGCGCGGGAGACTGCTGCAATGTACATGACATGTAGGCTACTGCTGTGGGACATAGTTGCATACAAGCAGTGCAGCTCACATATCATCAGTTGTATGCATAGACTATGCATATCTCGTCAAACACACTCAAGGTTGGGTGAAGACTTTATGTAGTCTGCTGGAAATCGGTTTACTCGTACGAGTCTGTAGAGCACCTTAGAATCAACATTGTCCGAAGCCTCTCGTCCAGCGGTGTCGATTTCCGCTCTACGCAAGACGCCCCGCTCCCCATTACAGCAGCGTAGTACACTGCTGTATCTTCGAGATTATGGGGAAACGGTTCGTCGCGATCCTTGGCCGCGGTGTGCGTGCGCAAACATACGGCCGCTGCTACCCCCAACACGTTGACTCGCACCCACACCCTCCAGCGGCATCCAAGCTTATGTAGGCTCGCCTCTTTGGCTCGTCCCGACGCTTTCTCTGCCCACACACGGCACAGAGGGCGAGAGTCTGCTGGCGAGGACGAAGAATCGGAGTGTAGCGTGGAAGATTAAGATTTGTGGGGGATCCCGTAGAAGGTGACAGTCCCTCGCAACACCCCCCACGTGGATCGGGATTGTCGTATGTGTCGATCCCCCCGCGTTCTTGCCCTTGCCCTTGGGTTGCCTGTTGCCGCAGAGCAGCAAGAGCAGCAGCCACAGCATGACGCCGACCGCAACAGGGAACGAGGCGGGTCCCTCTAAGAAGAAGGCGCGCCGTAGCTCCCGCCATGGCGAAGCACCGCCTTCCTCTCACTACGGCCCAGTCGCTTCCACCTCGGCAGCAGGCTCAGCGCTCGTCCAGGCCAACCTCACGGTCGACACGACAGCGGCGGCGGCGGCGGCACCACAGCAGCAGTCAAGCGGTGGCGGCAATGCCAACGGTAAGAGTGGGCCGCGGGGTGGGAACGACAACAGCTACGTCCTGTACATGTCGGAATCGAAATTCGATCCCGTTAGGCGGCGCTTCGGGGGAAGATCCAAGCCCGTCCTCGTGCCAAACACCACCGCTGCTACCGCCGCACACGGCGCAGCAGCGGCTGCGGGCAGCAGCCCAAGCTCCAGCAGCAAGGGAGTCCGGTTGAGCTTCGGCTTGGGGGCCAAGGTTGTCGCGACCAAGGAGGCTATGCACGCGACGTTGCACTGCCGGTGCGTGTTCGTCCTGCTCTGCGAGCTGGCTTCATCAGCAACGGACGGCAGTAGCGGTAAGGGGAAGGCCTCTGACACGAACACGGCTGCAGCCGCCCAGACGACGACGATGGCGGCGGCCTCGCGCAACAGCAACAGCAGCAGCAGCAGCAGCAAGCGCGGCGCGGACACCGCGCACCTGATCACTCTTTCCCCGAACGATCTGTTCTGCGCCCTCTCCGTTGACTCGTTCCCCCTAGCTGTCTCCACCGAAGCGACGCAAGACACCAGCGGCGGCGGCGGCGGGAATAGCCGGCGCGCGCAGAAGCAGGCGTCGGTAGTGGCAGCTTGTGCGTTGCCTAGGGCCTTGGAGGTTGTAGACGGGCCAGTTGTCATACATCGCCCGGCAGCACGACATGGTGAGCCTTGGCGAGGGTTGGAGATTTTCCGTCCGGGCGGTGCCGTCGGAGCGTGGAGAGGGCACCGGGTACCGCTGCCGGCGGTAAGCAGGAGCGGAGAGGAAGGTGACGACAACAACGACGGCACTCGACTTGGCGGCATTTTGGTTGGTGGCGACGGCGGGAAGCGGCGCGCACCAGCAGCGCCACCGTTTCGTTTGGATCTTGCCGCCGCGAATGCTGCCGCTGCTCGTGATGGAGAAGACTTGGTAGAGGCAACCCCTACCCCTCTCAGCGGAGAATCTGCTGCTGCTGCTGCTGCTGCTCGCGGGAGGAAACGAGCAGCCGGCACGGGCAGCAGCACCCTCCTCGTATGCCCGCCTGGCGCCCCCTTTCCGGCAGCAACGCGAGGCGCTAGTTTTAGTTATTTAGGGTGCGGGCATGAGAGCATGCCCGGGGAATCCCTCCGCGAATGCAATGGCGTAGGAGCGGCGGTTGTGGCCCTGCCGGCTGTTGTTCCTGCCGCGTCTTCGTCAGCAGCAGAGGCGGAAGACCCCGCTCGACCACAGCATTTGCCCCCTCAGTGGACGTCGCTCTTTGTTGATCGGGAGGGAGGAGCCTCGCTGGCCCCATGGTGCGGGCTGGCGTCTGCGTCGAGACATCATTCCCCCACTTGTCTCTCCCGCACCCCAGACATCGACTCGGGCGTGGTCGGCCTAGCATCGGGCGCGCTACCAGAAGGCACTGCGGCCGCCGGTGACGGCGGGCTGATCCTCAAGTCGCTACCCCCAACCGTCTACGCGGGCGTGGCATTGGACAGCGGCCGGGGCGGGGCAGAGGCTACCACCGCAGCGGAGGGGAATGGGGGCGCTTTGTTGGAGCTGCAGAGGGGGGCGCTGTCTTGTGCCCGCCTGCTCCCCGCCCCGCCGTCGTCGGTGATGGCGGCCGCGGTAGACGACGCGCAGGGAGTGCTGGCGGTGCTCTTGGCGGACCAGGCCGGAACCGCGCTGCTCCTGGCGCGCGACGGCTGCGAATTCCCGGTGGTGGAGGAACACCGAGGCATCGCCGCCGCGTTCAAGGGAGACTTTTTGGGCAACGGTCGGGAGCAGGTGGCGCTTCTCTCCGCGGCTTCGACGGGGGCGGGCGGCTCCGGGGGTGGAGCCGGTAAACCTGGGAAGCGGGGAGCGGCAGCGTCGAAGACCGGAGGCGCCAGGTGGGAGCAGCTGCCGCTCAAGAGTCTCGTGAAGAGGGCGCTGGTAACCGACAGCTCTTGCGTCTGGGGGAACGAGCGACGGGAGGATCTTCCGACGGCCCCGTCCGGCGGTGTTAACGGCGAGGGTGGTGCTGGTGGTAGCAGGGGTGCAGTTGCCTTGACGGGAAGTGTAGAGGTACCGAAGGGAGCCACGAAGGGGAAGAAGCGACAACGATCGAATGGGTTGGGAGACGAGGCCGGTGTAGCTGCGAGTAGCGGTGCGAACGGGTCTTCTGTGGCGTTGGCGAAGCCAAGCAAGACCGGGGGGGCGGACGTCAACAAGGATAGCAGGCTCAGCCGCCTCTCGAGTGTCGTGGGAGTTTTGCGGCGACGTGTGCAAGCGGAGGAGGCGCGGCTGTTGCAGCTACGGCAAGCTAGGCGAGGCAAGGCGGCCGCCGTGGAAGCAGCCAAGCTGGCGCTGACGGCCAGCGCCGAAGGCATAAGCGCATGTGGGGGGGGCTGCGAAGTGAGCGCAGACGGTGGCGACCACGGCGAGGACGCTGGCCCGCCCAGAGCCTCCTCGAACGCTCGGCTCTTTTTGAATGGGCTAGTGACCCCCGCGTTTGGCGGCGGCGGTGGCGGGTCGACGCTGCCGAGCGGTCATCAGGTCCACGAGAGGGTTGCCGAAGAACCACCACCCGCCCCCCTTCAGTGCGCGATCACTCGCGTTCGGTTCCACCCGCCTTCCCGGGTGCTCTGCTTGGACGCCCACGTCCGCAACCCGTCGCCTCCGAAGGCGAGCAACGCGGCAGAAATTACTCCCGCGGCGGCGGCGGCGGCGGCGGCGGCGGCGGCGGCGGCGGCGGCGGCTGGACCTCCGGTCACTGTTGTGAACGTGTGCTTGACCGTCGCGTCTGCTTCGGGACACCTCGCGACACGCAGCGCCGTGTGCCCGCGTCTCCGACCGGGCGAATCGGCAACGGTCCGAGCGTGCGTCGAAGTGCCTTTTGGGTTGTTGGCGGGAGGAGGCGGCGGAGGCGGCGGCGGCGGGCTGGTCCCCGGAAGGGCCGCTTCTCTCTACGCTTCTTGCAGCTGGAGGCTGGGCGGCAACAGCTCACCGGCGGCCCTCGGCGGAGGGACAAGGACGCCACCCGTAAACTCCGAGGCAGGGGCTCGTGAGGGCGATACCCTTGATCGTCCTTCCCGCTCCTTCATGTTTGCGCGCGTCCTTGTCTCCCCTAAGGACATGCTCGGCCTGGGCGGCGGTGTGGCATCGCTGGCTCAGGCACCAGAGGACAAGCAGGCGGGGCAAGACTTCTTCGACCACCACCGCTCCGCGAAAGCGGCCGCCGCGCGGGGCCGGAGGGGCGGGGCCGGCGGCGGCGGCGGCGACGGCTGCAAACATCTCGGGCTCTTCGACGTCGGCACCCGCCTCGACCTCCTCCTGAGCTCCTCGGATCCTTCCACGACCTCGACCACGAGCCTGGCCGCTCTCCCGCGGGCGGTGCGATCGCTGTCGGAGGTCGCGGCGCTGCCCGAGGCTTGGGCCGGCGGGGCCGCCGTGCGCGTCAACGGGTGCTCGGAGCGCGCGGCGGGGTGCACCCTTCGGGCCGGCGACTCCCCCTCCGCCCCCGCGGTCCTGCTAACCGTTGCCGCTTGCGCGCTGCCCGACGGTACGCTGGCGTCGGCCGACCACGCCTCCGGGCAAGGACGGGCTCTCCTGGTCGCCGCTGCGGAGGCATTGAAAGACGAGATGGCGGCGGTGGAGGCGGTGGCGCGGGAGCGGGGTCGGCTGGACGGAGGTGGGGGGACGGAGAGGCTAGCGGCGGCATTGCGACGGTACGGAGCAGCGCAAAGGAAGTCCGACGTCTTGGCGGCGCAACTTGCCGGTCGGGTCGTTGCCGCATGCGGAGGGGCGGCGCCGGGGGAAGGGCTGGGTTAGTTGTTGTGTGTGTTTTTTCTTGGGAGAGTCGTCGACTCGCGACAGTGCAAGAAAGCCGGTGTTCGTTCCAGCCGGCGGTTTGATTGGGTGGCCGGCCGGGTGTTTGATGGGCTCGGCGGAGTTGAAGTGTTGGGAGCTGGTGTCTTTGCCCGTACCGCTGAAAAAAACACTGCTGTTATGCCTATGACGTTGAAACAGTCATGATTTCTGCCGTACGTGAAAGGCAATGCTTTTGTGCTGGTTTTTGTCAGGGAGTGACGCACATGCATCGCGATCACTGAGCTCATGCGCATGTAATCTCTTGTGGTAACGCTGCTACTGTGCTCCGTTTTTGACCTCCCTCTGTGGTGGTTGTGGAGGAACACTCACCAAAAAATCTGAAAAGTTGCACGTCATTCCTCTTGCGACTTTTTTTGTGGAGCCGGGCGTTTGTGTACACGACAGCGGTGATGTTAGCACTTCGGGTCCATACTGGTGCACGCACGGCACCGAAGCTCTTACAACCCTCTCCTTTCCCAACTTTTCCGAGGTTGAGGTAGAGCAGACGGGATCATGAAAAACGCAACCTGTATTCTTGCCGCCTTTGCTCCTGACCCTACTGCTGTCTCCTATAGGCAACACGCAAGATTTGTAGCAAATGCAATCAAATCATCTCGTCCCTCCACACGCCGAGAACGCCCCAACAGGCGGCAAGATGACCTCGCCAGAAATTTTCCACAAAAGAACAGGCAAGGTTCGTTCTGTTCGCTCGGCCCTAGGACACGGAACAGAAAACTCTACCGACGACGTAGGTGGTGAAAATGGCAGCATGCCGACCCAGACTCCACCGTGTGCAGTGCCACGAAAACCAATCGCGTGCACTTGCATGAAAGATAGTGCTCTGACTCGGCTGGCGTCGAAACAAATACATACCACAGCGCGAAACAAATGTCCCTGAAAGCGAAAAAAATGCAAGACGTTCGCCGGGCAAATGTGCCGATCCGATGGGACTCCAGACATAACATTTCCTTCAACCCGACTTCATGGACGGTTCGTTCGATAAAAAAACAACGCTGAACTTCATTGCACATCCATGGCGCCTGGTTCAGTGTGCCAAGAGACATTTCCCATTAGCCACACCACTGGAATCGCGCGATTCCTAACCCCGTTCCCGAGCAACACTGAAATGAAACCGCTGCGCGAGCATTGTGTTGCGCTTCTCCAGTCATGCCAAACCAGGCCATGACGTACGGCGTGCGCGAGGGCATAGGCGAAAGACTAGCCGCACCGTGCTTCCTTGTGGAGTTAGCCTCACACCATACTCCCCTCAACCAACCTCCCCAGCACCTACAAGTCTCGCAAAACACGATTTGAAACTACCACAAACGCCAGCAGCATCGATTACAACCCCCCCCCCCTCTACAATACCCTTGACAATAATAACAATAAGGCAGGCGGCTCGTTGGAGAAAACGCACGCCATGGCCTGCTGATAAGCCCACCCCAGCCGCTGCTGCCTGTCCGTCCAAACCGTTGGCATTTAGATTAATTACCGTCAGGTTGGCAGAACATTACCATCAGTTGATGGCAGGCGTTTTCGAGACGCTCATGTCGCTGGCCTGCGGAAATCGAACAAAAATCCGACGTGACAACATGCGAACACACAGCAGCGATGGGGCCCATGAGAGGCAACGAAGCATCGGTCAAGACACTGGTGTATATGGTGATCATTCCATCCTTGCCAACGCCACAGATGAAGATACTTCTCAGAGAGAGCGACGCCACATTAACCCTCTACTTGGCGGGCTACAACACAATACAAGCACCAGCGCTCGTTTTTCTGTTCTTCGGGTGATAAATCGAGCAAGCCCCACACATCGGCGCCTCTCGTATCAGTACTGCGAACCTGGGGGGGTCCGATGGAACAAGCCGTGTGACATTTTATGGCGTGGGGCTGTTGACCACGCGCGTCCATCGGCAACGTGGGGATACTCTGCAGTCCGTCCAGGTCCGACATGCTTCATCTCGGAGCTATCTGCTAAAGTGTCTACTGTATTCTACAGTATATATATGAAGACAGACCCAAGGGACAATTGGACTATAGAGACGTTTCTTCACAAAACAGGCATGCACATTAATCGCGGCTGTGTTCATCGTGGCAAAGAGAGATGCATGCTGCTGTCACCGCGGCGCGTGGGTCTTTCGATTGTTGAATTTGCGCGACGATCACAACGACGAACCCGCCGCTTTAAGGGGCCAACTAAAATATGTCTGTCAGCCAGTCGGCCATTCCTGTCTTGTCTGTCGTTGTCGCTGCCTCTCTCTCTCTCTCGTACGGTCACGTTTCTTCTCTCGTGTCAAGACTGACGCCTGTCCGTCGATCAGCCGGCGAGCGCAGCCGCCGATCGAGAGACGAGAGACGAGAGACTCCACAACTGGGCAAAACAGCCACACACTTACCACACATTTACCACACAATTACACACCTGGCGCATCATCGCCGACCCGCCGACCCGGGGGGGGCTCCAAACGCCACCGGCCGCCCTCCGCCCAGACTTGCCGGCCCGAGACTTGGGGGTAGTGGCATCCCTCTCCTTCTTGCTGGCCCTGGCTTGGTCCAGCCAGCCCTGTATCATGCCCTTGACGTGTGCTACGAAGGCGGGGCTGATGGACACGGGGGCTCGCCCGCCCTCTCCGCGGCTCTGCGGCGACCAAAGAACCCACAACGGTAACGTCCAGGGGTGGAATAGAGGTTGGGTCGGTAGAATTGTACTGTGAGCCCTGCGCCCGACCCTCATTTTGGGCGGAAATTGTGTCACACGGGCCTTCTTTCGAACAACCCATTCTTCTGAAATATTGAATCAGGTGTGCAACCAGATTAAGCACGTAGAGGGTGTTTTGTAATAGTACTAGGGTTGGGATGCCGTGAACACTGCCCTGCCGTCATGCAACGAGAAATCCCTCACGTTCTGCACCGCTCCTTGTACTATAATGCAGACCCAGATAAAAATCGGGAATAGGTTGAGCCGCTCGCCTCCACTGCTGTACTGTAGATTCCGTCTTCCGCACGACGTGGCTGTCTTTCAATTCAAACACACACAAAAAAAACGTGGTACGTACGACACGCACGCACCAGGTTCTCCCAAAGAGAGGCGTGCTCGTCAAGCCTCGTGTCAAATAGCTCCAACAGCTCGTCGTGCAGCGACCTCCTCTCCGCCGGGGCCAGCCCCGCCGCCTCCCCGTCCAAGCCATCTCTTCCTTCGTGAGCCACGGCGTTGACCACCAGCATCCACAGGGCGGTCTCCGTGATGAACCCTAGCTGGCCGAGGCGCCACCTCCTGACGTTACGCTCGTCATTAGAGACAATGTCGCCGGCTCCGACAGCCGAGTCCTTCGGTGGTGGTGTCGCGGGGTACAACGTTAGGGTAAGATGGGGATTTGGGGTTAACAAAGGCGGGTTCGGGGTACAAGGTTAAGGTTGGTTATAGATGCGGGTTTGGGTGTTTGGGTGAATTAAGGTGGGGTTCGGGATGCAAGATTACGGTTCGATGCGGGTTTGGGGGTCTAGGTAATTGAGGTTGGGTTCGGATCTACAAGTACAGGGTATCCGAGACAAAAACAACGAAGCACACGTAAAAAAAAAAAAAGCAGTGTGGCGCCAACACGTATTCCGAGGAAGCGGTTGATGAAGGGTACAGCAGCATTGTTTTGCTGTTCAACGCGGCGTGCGTACAGATTCACCACGTTCTTTGTTTCTGAGACCGTGAGGCTCGAGCTAGGGCTCGATTTTGTTTTTTTGTCTTCACTTCATATCAGCGCTCACAGCTCTTCTTGTGCCTAGTTGGCATCTGCATTATAGGTAGGGTCAACGGTAACATCGAGGAAGCAAGTCCTTGGAGGGGCCGGGGTAATTGTGGGCTTGCAACAACGTCGGGGATCAAGCGAACGTGTCGTGTCTTCGAACGGGAAGGAACAAGTGGGTGTCATGAGGACGAGGGTGTGGATTGGGGATGCCTGCCTGTCAAAAACAACAAGGCTGTTTCGTTCTCTCTACTCCAAGGTTCCGTAAATTGAAGTGAGATATCGCGTCCATCTCGCGTGTCCACCACGGGGTGGCATCGGGACTGACTACCTGACTCGTATGCTCTCGTTCCTTGTCAAAGCCTGTGACCCAGGCGGGAGTTACGGTGGTCTTTCGTCGCCCAATCGCATGTCCGCGGGCCGCCAGCGGCACGCTTGTCACGGTTAAGCCCTAGGGATGTACACATCTGGGATTGATGTTGGTCAACGCTAGACACACCCCATTGCCGCCGCTAGCCTCAGCCCCGTCTCGGATCCCCACGAACGCAAACATTTAGCGTAGTGTACCCCTGTTGTGGAGATCCCGTTCATACAGAATAGGGTACAACCTCCTCAGGAAGGTATCAATAGTCCCCGAACGACAGACGTTGGGGAGATGTGTCTCTTCTAAAAGGCAACCTCACTATTATAGTGCTAAGAGGTAATATTGAGAATAGTCAGGATCTGCAGCGGAGGTTCGAAAGGCACCCCTTCGATACCGGACGTACACTAACCTCCTCATTGGAGACAGTCTCCATCTGGTGCACGTAGTACCGCACCAGACCCACCAGGTGACCCAAGCTCGGCTCCTGGTACAGCCCCTCGAACACCACCCCCCCCCCCTCGTCAGCCTTAGCAACGCCCCCACCACCTCTGCCATCCGCGGCTCCCCCAGCGGCAGCAGAGGCAGCAGCAGCGGTCGATTGCTTGAGCAGGCCGTGAGGAGGGTGCGAGTGCAGCTGCTGCAGGCGAGGAAGGGAGTTAAGCGACTGGTAGCTGAAGATCGGGATGGCTGCACCAGGGTCCCTGCCAAAAAAGAAACAAAAACACAACGGGGGCAGTAGGTTCAGTACGAGATGGGGTGATGCCGGCGGGGGCGTCGTTCGAAACAACCAGTGGGGCAAAGGACGGCAAAGGGCGGCGGCATCCCATCCCCTACTCTGACCTTGAAAAACATACTTCAATATCCTTCCACGGGGCTGAGGATCAAGGACAGACTGCCTCCACTCCCATGCCCAGTTAGCCTACATAGCCTACATAGCCCCGAAAGCCCTTGTGTGCTCTACAACAATTGGGCGAGTTAGTTCCAGAGGCGGAACCACGGGGGACGGCCCCTAAACGTTGAAAGGATCAAAGTCAGTGTTTCCCGAGTAAGTGTTAGGGTTAACTTGCGAGCCATAGCACACCACCTAGATGGAGCTCGATTGCTCCGCAGCCAAGACGGCTCGAGACAAACAAAACACGCACACACTACAATCGGCGTTGGCAAAATGTTGGTCGGAGAGCAACTGAGCCATTTTAAAGTCGGTTCGGTCCCGGGGTACGCCATCTCTCAACCCTTTACCGTAATAAAGGGAGGGTCAATCGGACCCCCTCCACGATCAATGGAACCCCCCCCCCCGGGGGGGCGGGGGACATTCGACAGAACCCCCCCACCAAAAAAATAACGGAGACAGCAATAGCATAACGCCACACAGCCCGCCAGAGCACTACCTGGCACAAACGGAGGCCTGACTCACTTTATGGCGACGACATCCTCCCACGGGACAAGCTCCTCGCTCACACCGCCACCGCCACCGCCGCCCGGTGCAGCCTCGAACCGCGCCAGGTATCCCTGACCGCGCATGTCGCGACCGATGACCATGCCCGACCGGAGGAGAGTAGAGCCTTTGCCGCCACCGCCGCCATGGCCGGCGCCTTGGGCGTCCCCGCTACCCGCTCGCCGCGGCACCCCCCGGCACCTTCGAGAGACAGCAGCAGTCACTCGACATCAGGAGACACCTCTACACCTCTACTTGTGCGTTTGATGAGGTTCTTTAGAATCGAATCGTGCGGTGCCAAGGCGTTCACGTCAGATCCGCCGGTGCGAGAAAGTGTCCAACGGGGGTGACACATCTTGCGATTGAAAGCTGCAGCATTCAGCAGCGATGTCGGTTGCGGTAAATGGAACAAACTACGTATCGCCTATCTTAGGGGAAAATGGAATTACTTTCGCCAGACACGGCTACACCGGCGGCCCCCAAAAAACGGGGAGGGCGTAGAATCGGGGGGGGAAATGTCAACACCACTGCTGTTGTCAATAGCTGCAGAAGCCCGCACTTTCTGACATAATCTGTGGCCAAGGTTTGGGCTCACTTGCACTCTATCCACGCTCCGACAGGGGCCTCGATGCTCCCACGGTCCTCAGGCCTGACCTCGATTTTCATGTCCTTCGGCTGAGGGGACACTCGCCTATCATTGATTTTGCAGGCACAAGGAAGGGGAGCAGACAACAACAACACAGCGGTGAAAAAAAAACAAGAGAGTGTGGGTCGTTGTCACGAGTGGTAGCGCAATAGCGATAATAGTCGGAGCGAACATAATATGTATCTATTTCTTGGCGGAGCAAGACGCACGTATTGTGTACCAAGGTGCTGCTGATGCGTCGCGTGCAAGAGACAACCTCCTGAGATTCCGACTAACATTCACAAAAGATAACCGGTGTGAAATCACAAAAAGAATGCCATGACACCACGAAAACACACACACCACCTTAGCTCGTGTAGACACGATCACACCGACGCCCCTACTTTACCTGGTGGTATGTATTTGTTTCATGCCCTCATTCGGGGGGAGAGTGGGTGCCAACGACGCAAACTAGTCGACATCACAAACAGGTCCACCTCACTCTTTTACGTCGAGCCAAAACGCAGCCAAAACTCCCGACATTTAGATCCCAAAAAAGCAACACCACCACCACTATAGGAGGATAGTCTACACCCACAGCCTCCATCCTGCCGAGAAAAAATTCAATAATGCTCCCCACAGTAGATACCTCAAGACGCTCAACGCGAGCACCAAGAAGGCCGTGATCCCATCCTCCACCCTCCCGAAAAAGCCTAGCCCTCCGGCGGCAGCCCCTCCCCCGCCCACCCCGGCTCTCAGCGGCGCAAACGCCCCACCACCACCGCCGCCGCCGCCGCCGCCGCCACGATGCACGGGCGTCGGAGTAGCCATCGTCATGGCACACGGGTACTGCCCCCCGCCGTCAGAGGAAGACACGCCGCCACCGCCCTTGTCCCGCGCAGCCTTCTCTTCGGCGGTGACGGCCAGCGCGCAGGCCTTGACGAGCTCCAGCGGCCTCGAGTCGGCCATTCCTCCTCCGGTTCCTCCGCCGCCACCGGACGTGGCGGCTCCCGCTACTACGGCCCCGCCCCCCGCAATAGGCCTGGCAGGCGTTATCGCGGCGCCGCCGCCGACCGCTCCCCTGGCCGGGGTAGGGGTTGCCTGCTGCATCGGCGTGAACTCCTCCAAGGATCTCCGGCGGGCAACAGGAGATGACCATCCCCCGCCGCCGCCGCCGCCGCCGCCCCCTCCGCGGACCGGGGTCTGGCCGGTTGCCGCCGAGCCGCCGCCGGTGGCGGCGGACTTCGTCGCCGGCGGCCCGGTGGCTGGTACTAGGAGGACGGCCGCTGTGCGAGTGGCCTGCCGCACCGCCTGGTGCGGTAAAAGATGGGGGTGGGGTCAGGGATGTGGCAGTGTTGCACGTACTCGGTTTGTGTGGCGATCGGCAGAGCTAGCGGCGATGCTTTTTCGAAACCGTAATCTTCGAGCACAAAAAAAAAAAAACTTGTGGCAGCTACGCATACCTGTGCGCTGGTAGGTGGCACTTCACTCCAACACAGTGTGTGTCGCGTTGGCGCTTGGCTGGTTCGAGTCAACTAAATTGTTGTACCTACGTCCTTTAGGAGAGCCGTACAACCTACTCTTTGCCAATCAGATCCACGCCTGGGAGACAAGCCGCCCCGATGTTAGTCCGGGTGTACCAACATATCGTTTGGCCATCTCGGCATCACACGAGCATCATTATCCCAAAAAACAGCGTCGATTCCTCTTCGCACCGCAAAAATTTGGCGAGTACTGACGTACGCGTCCACCAGCAAACCCACCCCGACTCTCCCAACACCAACACCAACGAATCTCTGGCTCTGTTCCACAATCGCGTTTGTGTGCGTTGATGTTGAGTCCGTCCTTGGCTTTCTCTTCGATATTTTCTATCATGTCCCTTGTTTTCTATTGTAGCTGGCCTGTCACCACGGACGGCATCCGCATCAGTTGGACCCGCAACTCATGTCAGAAGGTGCTTGCTTACCCAGCAAAAAAACGGGATATGACTTAAAACGTGAACACAACAGAAACAACAAGGCCGCGGCGGGGGCGGAGTCGAAGCGCCACGCCTACCTCAAGCAGCTGCGTCGACGTGCCCGGGTGCTGCGCCCTCCATCGCGACATCCACGGCCCCAGCGCAGCCACCACGCCCGCCACATCCATGCTCTCCTGCACGACCGCTAGGGTAAGCCTGCCCCCCCCCGTCGGCGGAGCTGACACGACCAGCGACAAGCCCACGACCATTGTCTCTCGGAACGCGTCAACAAAGCGGAAGACTTGCGACAGCCCCGCCTCCGCCTCTCGCGGCCCCATCCTCTCCCTCGACACGCCGCCTGCGGAGGAGGAGGAGGAGGAGGAGGAGGAGGAGGAGGAGGAGGAGACGACAGCGGTCCACCTCGCCGCGATGGCGTTGCTCGCCAGCGGCGACGATAGAGCTTTGGAGGCGCGGATGGTGCGGGTTAGGTCGGACGTGGTCCGGAGGGCTAGCAGGTAGCACTGCCAGTGGGGGGAGAGCTCCGACTGGTTCGTGTAGCCGCGCGGGACGGAGCACTGCACGTTACAGGAGGCACGCAAGGACAAAAAAAAGGGTACTGCTGTTGAACCGAATGTTGGGACAAAGCATAAACCCAAGGGCAAAATTGGGTACCAGACGCAACAAGCAACTTCAGCAAAAGCAAGGACGAAAGGGGGTACCCGGTACGCCTTTGGAGAATATTGCGAGAAAATAAAACTGAAGGACAAAAAAGGAACGGCACACTCGAGTTGAGAGGACGTTGGCGACTAGTATCAAGCGAAGAGAAGCGAACATATTAATAGAGCAGTTATTTTATTTCATCTCCCTGTTCAAGGCACACACGGCTGGCTCAACAGCAGTGATTGGTGCGGTACAGACAGACCCAACCGCGCTCTCTCGAAAACAAGCAAATCACTCATCGGCCTTCAAAGAGAGTGCCGTTTTTGTACAGACACGTCGAACCCGCCATAGACGACGAACCGCGCTACTCACACCGGGGTCCCCGCTGCTGAAAACCCACACCGGGGTCCCCGCTGCTGAAAACCCTTCACGGCAACGCGGGTACCCACCTGCTTGTCCGCGGAAGCTTGGCGCACGAGCGCGAGCATGGGGTCGTTGGACATGGCGCTGACCACGCCCGATTCCAACATGGTCCTCGTGAGGAGGCCTCTCGACGCCGCGCTGGCGAAGACGCTGTAGATCAGCTGCTCACAAAAAAAAAAAAAAAATGGTTAAGTTTGTGTGACCTTGTGCGGGTGTGGAGATCTCAACTCTTGCCGTACCGGTTGATCGTGACAAGGATTCAACCGCCTCTTTCCTTCGTCGACCATGAACAAGTCGAAATCGATCAGCATGCACACGAATTTAGTCGTTTTCCGCGTTATTTTGGCATACACTGTGAGAAGAACAAAAAAACTCTTTCGATAGTCAATGTCCCCAGGGGTCAGGGTTAGGCTTAGGGTGAAGCAACCCGCAGCTGTTCATGTAAAAATCGTTGTTTGTGATTCCATAAGGAATCGGCTCGAGGACAGCCTGGAGAGACACCGGCAAGTGGAACAGGTTCAGGAGTGGTCCCTGTATGTACAATATCGCATAGTGCCAAGGGATTTGGCCGGCCTTATACCGGGCACCCGGCGCTACTCAATAGAGTGTGAGACAACTTGAGTATTCCTTCTGCACCACGCGATTTGGCCGGCCTTAAATAGGGACCACCACGACCTTATACAGGGACCGTTGCCTTAAAGAAGGGCCGTTTGAGTACAGGGGTATTACGAGTGCATACGCCGGGACCCCCACAGGCAAAGCGATAGAAACGCTTGGAAGACGAAGACACCGGCCCAGCAGGAGTGAAAAAATAAAACACGGTGTGAAGTTAATGCCAGACAGCAGTCATTCGGTTCTGTTGCTGCTGCTGCTGCTCTGACAAGAACAAATAAGACTGGACGAGCTTGACGATGGACAGTCTATTCAGCTGCTGCTGCTGAAGCGGTACCTGCAACAGCTCGACCCCCTCCGCTGTCGCCGCCCCTGCATCGGGCCCCCTAGCCTTGCCCTGGCCCCCGCTCCCGCTCCCGCCGCCCCCGGCCGCGTCTGACTCGTCGACATCCATGTCCAACCCCATCGCCGCTGCCGTTGCCGCTGGAGGAGGCGGTGTTGGGAGGGGGCGGTGAGTGCAGCGGACCGAAGGTGTTGCACGCCAGTCGCGATGCCCTTGCTGCGCGCTCGAGTAGCCTAGGGATCACCTGCGCTCCAAGATTGGGGGGGGGGGGGGGGGGGG